CGGTCTGGGAGCTCGGGCCTGAATGCATCACTTCGCGTCTCGTGTTCGTTCGAGCTCGTTTGGACTCAGAATTCGATTCTGTTTTCTTATGTGTGGCGCCAACGCATCCTTCTACGAAATTAAGCTCATTAAAACAATTTCCTCCTTCAAATAAAATTAACCGAGGTACCTGACCTGCACGTCACAAAGGACAAGAAAAACACATAAATCCAGAAAAACAAACTAAAATCATAGAGAAAGCCCAAATAAAGAAAAGCAAGCAATAAATACCCAAAAAAGCTGAAAACAACGAGAAGACCTAAAATAGGGGGAAAAAGAAAAGAAAAATAACAACGGAAAACACAACAGAAATGGGACAAACAGATGGTGAAGCCCAAATCGGAGGTCGGGTAATTCGGTAAAATTGTATTTCTAGTCCCACTAGTTTAACGTTGTAGCATTTTTAGTCCCAAGATTTTAACTTTTTGTCTTTTGGTCCTGTAATTTTATATTTTGTTGCATTTTCAGTCATCTGAGACTGAAAAATTGCAGCAAAATATGAAATTACAGGACTTAAATTGCTAATAAAAAATTCATCTAAAAGATTTTCAATTAGCAATTTAAGTCCTGTAATTTTATATTTTATTGCATTTTCAGTCTCAAAGGACTGAAATTGCATTACATTTTAAAATCATAGGACTAAAAAGCAAAAATATTCAATGCATAGGATTAAAAACGCAAATGGATCAAACCAACAGGACTAAAATTAAAATTTTGTCGATTATTTCCTTTATCAAAATCTCGGAGGAAGAAGATTACGATTCATTGATTGAGAAAATTGACTATGAGTCATAGTTTAACTCGCCATGGCGAGGTGACCAAGACAATAAGTAAAATCTCCTTGCCCCTACCAAAGACGTTTCATTGATGAGGCAGGCGACATTGGCATAGCCAGGTAGGGGCTAACCTGGACTTCAGCCCAGGGTCAAATTTTTCCCTATGTTAATTAGTATATATATTATGGTAAGAATAAAAAAGAAAATTGTTAAATTATTTCAGCCTATATGAAATTTATTTTAATTTGTATTAATATGTGTATGTATATTTTAATTTAAGCTCAATATATATACTTGGTGATGACTAATTATTTGAAAAAATTTCTAACAAATATTAATGTAATATCATTTTTGCTTATAGGTAACACTAATTTTAGTCTTTTTATGCTATTGTTTATCAACTAACATAACTTGTTTGACATTTTATTTTAAAGAACATGTATATTATTGATGAAAATGTGATAATCATTCATAATTAATATATGTTTCACTATAATGAGATTAAAATATTTATTGTAATTATAATCTTAAGTTTCAATACTTAATATACATAGGTCTGAGCTAGGTTGAAGGCCTAATTATTAGTGCATATTACATTATTTCAATAAATTTATATATTTTCGTAGTTTCATTTAAATATAAAAAATAATAAAATATGATATTTCATATTAAAAAATATTTTTTAATTTAAAAGTATGATAAATCGGTCTATCTAACTGTCATCCCATAATTTTTTTTCAAGAACAACACCCCGAA